CCGGCTTCTTCCCTCTAGGCAGTCTCACCAAGTCCCAAGTCTTGTTTTTCTCAAGTGCTTCCATCTCAACCTTCATAGCATTTTCCCAATTCTCAGTTCCTAATGCATCGGATAAAGTTTTGGGAATAGGGACTGTATTTAGGCTAGTAAGAAAGGTCCTGTGGTTATGAGAAAGATTCTTATATGACATGAACAGATAAAGAGGGTGTTTGGTACAAGTTTGTGTTCCTTTTCTAATTGCAATAGGGACATCATAATCATTTTGTTCAGAGGTTTCATTAGTGTTATCATTGGGTTGAGTAATTACCTCGACATTACCAGGAGCAGATTTGGGTGATTGAACTTGCACAGGTTGAGAGATTGGTGCTCTTTTCCTTGAGTAAATCTGCAATGGACGAGTAGAGTCTTGAGTTTGCTTCCCATGTAACACTCCTTGTGATATGGGTGTATGAGGCTTGGCTTCTGACCGTGTGTTTGGCTTGGATTGAATGTTTGGGAGTATGTTTGACTCGGATTGATGAGAGGTAGGGGCTAGAAACTCAAGGAGAAAAAGATCCTTGTCTTTATATTCTATGAAAGATGTCTCCCCCTGAAGATTAGGACCGTTAAAGTACTGATCTTGTTCGACAAAAGTAACATCAAAAGACATATAAAATCTCCTTGTCGGAGGATGATAGCATTTGTAGCCCTTTTGGGTGGAGGAATAGCCAAGAAAGATACATTTGAGAGCTCGAGGATCAAGTTTTCCCCTGTTTTGAGAATGCACATGAACAAAGGCAACACAACCAAATATATTTGGAACAAGATTATTAGATGCGTTAAAATTGGGAAAGAATTGTGTAAGGACTTGCATTGGACTTTTAAAACCAAGGACTCTTGTAGGAAGCCGATTGATGAGATGGACAACAGTTAAAACAGCCTCCCCCCAGTATTGTTTTGGAACATATTTTTGGAACAAGAAAGCTCTTGTAATAGCGGGAAGGTGGCCGTTCTTTCGTTCGGCCACCCCATTTTATTGAGGTGTGCTAACACAAGTAGGGATGACAATTTCCTCCGCTCCGATGGGTTTCCGCCCCGTCCTCGCCCCTAATGGAGTGGATTTAGTGGTCCCTAAATGGGTTTGGGATGGGTATGGTAAAATAATTAAAAACCCGAAGCAGGTTTGGGGCGGGGGGCGAATTTAGTGATGACCCTGACCCCAACCCGATTATATATGTACCTTTTAATTTTTTTGTATATATAAAATATATATTTTATATTTTTAAGACTCTTGTTACTTTACTGGAAGTGTCTGTTATTATATTAATATTCACTACTTGGTAATTTAAAAGTTGGGCCAGCTTATTTATCAGGCCAATTTGAGCACACTGGACTAGTTTTTTTTTAACTACATGATAAAAGTGGCATAACCCGGCCCACTCCCGCCGCACCTTGCAATTAAATGGAGTACATGGGGCGGAGACGGTATTTTGTCTATCGGAGTAGGGGCGGAGACGGTATAACAATTACAAATCCGTTTCGGAGTAGGAGCGGAGTTGGTATGATAAATTTTCTAACGGGGCAGAGTAGGATTTAGTCAAACCCACCCCAACTCCGCTCCGTTGCCATCCTTAAACACAAGAGGATTCATGTATTATGCCCTGTTTTTGGAAATACGGAGAGAGAATTTGATTAAAGTAGTCCTTAGCATTGTCAGATCGGAATCTCTTTATCCCAACACCAAACTGAGTTTTGACTATATTGAAAAAAGTTGGAAACACAGAACTCACATCCGATTTATTTTTTAACAGAAAAATCTAAGACACACGAGTGCAATCATCAATAAATAAGACAAACCACCTTGCCCCAGAAACATTAGCAACAGTGGAAGGTTCCCAAATGTCACTGTGAATCAAGGTAAATGGAACAAAAGTTCTTTTATTGCTGATTTGAAAAGAAGTACGTTTGTGCTTTGCAAGTTCACATACATCGCAATGAAAATTTTCAATGGATAAACTTTTGAACAATGAAGGAAACATTATTTTGAGAACACTAAATGATGGGTGACCAAGACGAAGGTGTTGAAGCCATATCTTGTCTTTATTGGATTTGAATGACTCGGAAAGAAATGATAATGGTGACAAACTCTCAACTCTATTTTGTCCATTTGATTCTTCAAGGTAGTATAGACCATCCCTCTCCATAGCATGTCCAATCATCCTCTTCGTGCCCTGTTCCTGAAATATACAACGCAGAGGATAAAACGTCACACTACAATTAGAATCTGTAATGAGTTTCTGGATTCACACAAGATTGGTGAATAGTTTTGGGACATGAGGACATTCTTAAGTGTAAGGTGGTCATTCAAAAAAACATCTCCTTGACCAGCCACGGTTGTTACTGATCCATCAGCTGTTATTATTTTCCTATTGCTAGGACAAGGGGTATATGAAATAACTTTTTTTGAGGAATGGGTCATGTGATCTGTAGCTCCTGAGTCAATGACCCAGGAGCTAGAGGAGATTGTATCCGAAGCACTAAAAACACGAGAAGAGGGGGAAAGAGAGGAAATACCCGGGAACACCAAAGAACAAGTACCTGTTGTAAACGGTTTCTCCAACGTTCCCAATAGGCTCCTTAATTTCTCTTTCTCTTCTTTGTTGAATTCGGCAAATGGGATTGAAAGATTGTCTTCACTGTTTGATTGTGTGGTTGCCACATGTGCCTGTCCCTGTCCTCTTGGCTGTCCACTCTTTTCTGACCAGGCTTTGTTCACAGTTTGAGGCTTGCCATGGAGCTTCCAGCACTTCTCCTTAGTATAGCGGAATTTTTTGCAGTATGTACACCACAGAGAATCCTTTTTGAATGGTCTTGACATGTTTGCTTGCCCATTGCCTTCTCCAAAACGCTGTTCGGAGCCATAATTCTTCACAGTCGTGTTTTTTTGACACCAAGGCCGAACTCTCTACTTTGTGAGTTTCAAACATGACACCCCTTTTTCCTTCCTCAGCAAGAACAATTGCAATTGCCTCATTTAAGGTTGGCAAATCTTCTTTTCCAAGTATTTGCATTCTTATAGCATCAAATTCGATGTTTAACTTGCAAGAAAATCATAAATTCCGTCCTTTTCGACAAACCTCTTTAGGATAGCTGCATCTTCGCTGCACTTCATCTGAATGCACTGATAATGATCCATCTCCTGCAATAGACCCTTCAAGAGGTTGGAATATTCGGTGACTGACCGATTACCGTGTTTGGTAGCGGAGATTTTGGTCTTGATCTCATAGATCTGTGCAGCATCACGTACTTTGGAATATGTCTGCTTGACTATTTCCCATATCTCCTTGGCCGTGCTCAAAAACATACAAGTGTCGCTGATTTCTGGTAACATAGAGTTCCATAACCAGGACATAACCATAGAGTCTTGTTCATCCCAAGCATCAAACTTAGGATCCTCCTTCTTTAGACCATTACCAAGCAAGTGGCTCAGTTTCCCTCTTCCCTTCAAGAACGTGCGGACCATTTGAGACCACTTCATATAATTTTTCCCATTCAACCTGTACGCCGCCTGGATATTCTTCAATTCTCCTGTTGGGACAGAGCTGTTGCTTCCAGTTATAGGGATCTCTGAAGTATCGCTGGTTTCGGTGGATGCTGACATGGTTTAGAGAGAGAGGTGGAATCCACAGGTTTGATAACACTGGATTTTCACAGAACAAGAATACGAAGAAAAGGACTAGGCGAAGAGAAGACGATTACCCAGAAAACGAGCCTAGAGCTCTAATACCATGACAAAATTACTGAAATTGGTAATCAAATCAAATTGATTAAAGAATTGGGAATACACTGTTATATGTACATCAGAATAATGCTATTCTAGGAAACTAACTAATCCTGGAGATACATATTAATACATATAAAAAACTGATCCCTAGAAATCAGGGATTACAATAACTAATAAATCCCTAGCTATTAACAGCCTGTACACAATTTCCTTATACAAGGAAAGAATCGTATTTTCCCACAGGTAATGAGGGGTAGGTGACAACTCATACAATACTAATTGTACACGTGTGACAACTCATACAATACTAACTGTGCACGTGTGACAATTCATACAATACTGTACAATGTGACAACTCATACAATACTGTAAAACAAAACACTTTGCTTTCTTAAAATTTTTCCACATCCACGAACATTGAAAAGACTATTGATATAACAATCAGCTTAATAATCTTACAGGTTCGGGCAAGAAAATTTGAGGATTAATAATTAGTTACTTATATATTTGTGATAGTTACCACCAAGGTCTTAGCCCAATTGGTATCTTCTCCTCCTTCAAAACGGAAGGTTGAAGGTTCGAGTCTCCAATGCCACTAATGGATACATGTTGGACTTAACAACCCACCCCACCCCACCCCACCCAACACCCAAATAAAAATAAATAAATTCTAATAAGTATTTAGGACTTGGGTAAAATAATTTGTACTCAACTATGAAAGGTTTTTTTTCCGTGATTCTCTCTCTCTCTCTCTCTTCTTTTGGGTGGGAGGTATAATGCTATATATGGATTTTTGAGGGGGAAGTCTCTGTGCAGCAGAAATTTTCTTGTGCATTTACTGTCTAAGATACTTATCATTAGCACTTCATTTTGGTTGAGATATGCTTGTGTAATAATGTTAAATAGTTTCAGGTCACCATACCCTATATGATCACATGAAACTGTTTGATATGGTCTTTTGATTGAATGATTGATTTGCCTTTGCTTCTTCAATTTTAGCATATTTGATCATAGACTCAGAAGATTTATATATATATATATATATATATATATATAAAATACTTAAAAGAATTTTGTGGAAACTTTAAGAACTTATTAGTCATCTTATTTTTTTCTGAAGTGTTCACTGTTCTAATATATTCAATATTAATTTTATATTTCTTTACTATTAGAGAGAAGTATTCTAAGTTTAGAAACTCTATTGTGTCACTTTCTTTAACAAATCTCTTTCTTTCAGGCTTCTCACATGGTCAACTTTACCGTTGCTAATTCACAAGGTCCCTTGTCCTAGAGGCAGTAGCTTTTGGCTCCCAGCAATTCAAGTTTTTGCCAGCTTCAACCTTCTGCTATCAATTGTGGTAAAAACTAATTTTTACAACTTGGTTTATCTTATTAAATTTTTCATGGTTTCATTCACCAAATATTTGTTTTAGTCATGGGCTCTTTGGTGATGGTTGCTTCGACATTATCATTCAATGATTTATGCAGATGTCCCTCAATTTCCTGAAATTTCGAAGGAGGCATTGGTGGCAATCTTGCTATGTTTGGGCTGGTTATTGACTTCTTCTGTTACTATTATTATTATTTCTGTTTTACTGTGTTGGTATTTGGTACTTTCTCATGAATATTTACTCGCACTAAGGATTCATTTTCTAAGGATGATTTGCTTTCAGTCTGGGTTGAAGGTCCACTGGGATTTGGTTTGCTGTTGAGCGGTCGCATTGTACAGGCTTTCAAACTATATTACATATTTGTCAAGTAAGTTGACGTTTTACAAACTTGGGGATTTGAGAGTGGGTTCTAAACCTCGTGGAATTGGAAATTTATTTATCTCATCATTTACCTGCTGAACTGCCCCCTCGCAAATGTTTAAACCCCTGCCCTTCCCTACCCAAACCGAGTTCACCCAACCCACATGCACACCAGGAAATAAAAAGCAATGTAAAACAGAGAGAGAATGAGGGGATCGTAGGAGCCAAACTGGATGTACGTTATAATAAAGATATATGTTATAAATTATACATGGGCAATGCATGTCTGTAGTTGGTTTGAGCATTGCACAGTACTCCAGTCAATGATTGACTACCAATTGAAAGTTGCTTATGGAAGCTACATTTCTTGTAGATGATGTATTTTTGGCACATCTATCCCACAGGCCTTGCCCCGCAACTTGTTCGTTACTGCCTTTCATTTTTCTTATTCTGTTTTGTCCGACTGTACTGCGTGCATCTGAAAATGGTGTATGGTCTTACTCCAATTATTTGCTTTTGATATTTCAGGAGACGATTACCACCTATCAGATCATATATTTTTCTTCCATTGATTCTCGTTCCTTGGATTGCTGGTTCTGCATGTAAGAGATTAGTGTCAAATTAGTTATTTTTATTTGGAAGTCCATCTTGTCAAACAGGCTCTTTAGTTTTCTCTGCATGTGAGAAATCAGTATTAAATTAGTTATTTTTATTTGGAAATCCATCTTGTTGACTTGAACATACTGCCATGAAAATAAGTTTGGATCAGCTCCATTTTTTCTCTCGCAAACAGGCTCTTTAGTTTTCTCTGCTCAGGCCTCTCATCATTAATTTGTTTTAGTATATTAAGTACCTGATGTTATGTTCTGTTAAAATCAGTACACTATTGTCTTTTGAATAGAAGGATTCTGGTCCCACTTAAGCAGGGTGTTGGGAGGGAGAGATTTGGTATATTATTTGATAAGGTTGCTGCTCTTATGCTTGAATCAGCATCCACACACTTGTGAGTCTGAGATTGTATTATTGCACCAAGCAATGGCCCATATTGTTTATTTAATTGTTATTCCCAGTTCTTGTCCTTAGAGGATGAATTTGAAGAACAGCGAGTTTTTCCATTTAATTTTTTGTAAGGATTCTTTACAATCACATAGATCGACGGCCTCTCAAACTTCAGTTTTCTGGTTTATCAGATGCAAAATTATTGAAGGAAACATTTCACAAGGCCAATTCATCAATGTCGTAGTATTATACAGATATCAGAACTTTAAATTCCTAGAGCCACTAATCCAGCTGAGTTAAGACGATCAGTATTGACATTGTCTATAAAGCCAATAGTATTTTAACCTCACATCACAATGCTGTGGGGCATGGGCTATATTATCTCTCAGTCTGGATTTGAAACTGGACTTCATTATGGTTGCTGTATATTGGAAGAAAATTCAAAAAATGGGATGTATTTCTCTAAAAAATCAGGTTAAATGTTTATCAAAGTAGATCATGCATGTTTTGAAATTCAGTTGCGTTCTTCCAGAATGAAAGATCTTCAAGTGGAAAACCTGGTGAGAGAATATAATCATATTGGAAAGTTTAGTAGATCCAGTTTCATTGCCTTCCTCTTTATAATTCATTTTGGCTATTGATAAGTAGTCAAAACACTAGGGCTGGTTGTGAATTTTCACTTAGAATTCAACTATTTTCCCTGTTAATGCTCCCTTTAGCACTATTTGGTATGGAAACTTCCTTCTGTTTCATGTGAAGTATATTTACTTTTCAAAATTCCTATGTTATTTCCATAGTTTTCTGTGTTTGTAATTCAATCTTCTGACTTGCATGTCATTGAGCATAAGCTTTTATTATTTTGCAAAGACCATGTACAAGTTCAAGATATTCTGATCTGTATCATTTGGTATACCTACTCGGTGGAATTTACTGAAACCATTTTGGGAACTCTATTACTGAATGTTGGTTTCCAAGTTCTTTTCTGTTGCTCTAGTTTTTGAAGCAATTATTTGTTAGTAATGGCATTTCTCTGTTGTAGTAATTCAGTTGAAGAAACCTCTAAATCATCGGTGCCACATGGGGACTCGGTGGATCATCCCATTTGTTTGCCTCCATGCAGTGTATGTTGCCGCTTTGGTTGGTTTTACAGGAGCCATTCATCATATAGAGTTCAGGTTTCATGAACTCAAAGACCTCTGGCGTGGAATACTTGTTTCCTCTTCTTCCATTGGTACATTTTTTGTCTTGGTTTGATATAATGCTTTGTAGTCTGCTTTTTATTTCAGACAACACACGCATTCATATACATATTTATTAAATATATTATATCGTTCTTAGTGAGAAAAAGTGCACTACTTTTTGGAGCCTAGTCAATATTCAAAACCTATATAAAGTAGCAAGAGGTTAAGCTAGCTCTTCGAGGGAAGCAACCCAAAACACAGACACATTTATGAGTAATTTGATTTAATTATATATATATATATATATATATATATATATATATATATATATATATATTCGTACCCAACTCCAAGTAGTTGAGAAATGTCTTTGTTGAATTGAGTTCATATATATTATTTCTCCATATTGTTATAAAACCTTCTTGGCCACCTGACATGACTTTTTAGGAGTGGTTATATTACAATTTTCCCTAATTATTGCAAAAATATTGTGTTGGACATTAAATTATTGGAAACATAACTACCAATAAATATATGTTTTGCTACATTTTGGATATCTATCAAATATTCTGCATATTCAGTGCAGAATTCAGAGAAACTACCAACACAGTTCAGAAGAGAAAATGGAGCAATTTTAGTGAAGTCGTTGATGAAGCATCCCCGTATCTTATAGGAAGCTTAGAAATAATGAATTTTAACGTTATAGCTATGAGACTATTTAAATTAGGAAGCCGGTCAGAATTAAATTGGGCATTTACCATGATACTTGGACAAATCACCTAATTAGTTTCAAATAAACGAAATCATACTTTGTGAGAAGTAATGAATTATAAAATAGCTAAAATTTTCTACCAAGGTGATAAAAACCTTAATATTCAAACCTCTCTAGCACATCTGTTGAGATGTGGGATCCCACTGTTATAAACTATATGTATTAAAATAACCAAAAGTTTCTACCAAGCTGGTAAACAAATTTGTTTTTGAATTTCTTTGACATATATATGTATATGCTGGGATGGGTGATCTTACTGTTACTCTTGTAGACTTGGTTTATTAGTTACAAAATGGTCCGTAGACTGTAAATTTTAGGTGCATGCCCTTGTTGGTTACCCTCTTCAAGTTTTCTGTGCTTAAAATATTTAAGCTAAGAATTCATGTCACCGCCATTTCATATTATTGATCATAAATATTGAAAATGGTGATTTTGAGTAATCCTTTGGTTACTTAAACTTTGTACACACGTCATCATGTCTATTTTAATATATTTTCTGCCTATTCTTAAAATTATGCAGTATTAGATGCTGTTTACATTTCATGCAGAAATTTCTGACTGCTTCCTACCCCTATGGTGCAAAATGTTACTGGCCTGATATTAAAACTTTGCCAATGACTAAACCTTTTTATAGCATCATATTCAGAACAATCAAAGAGGTGTTAAAATAGTTTCTTCATCCTTTATCTGACTTCTGACAAGTGCATGCATGTTGATATGCACTGGGATGTGTGTGTGTGTATAAAATGTCTTGTAGTTTGATTTAGAAGTTTGAACATGCACATTCTGGATCATGTACCTTAGCTTTTGTGCTTTGATAAGTTATGGTTATCCAAGCATTCCCTTGTGATAGTGTTAGTCTGTCAGATATACAGCTGTGGCTACTTTTGAATATGTATTGGATTATTAGTACAACTTACCGCCTACTGCTGTGTTCTATATGGCCACTCAAATTTTCACTAAGTAACAAAATTCTCATTTCCTTTTTACCATTTGTTATTCATATTCTCTTTCCTTCCAGGAATATGGATTACTGCTTACATTTTAAATGAAGTACACGAAGATATTGCATGGCTTCAAGTTGTCTCCAGATTTCTGCTGTTAGTGATGGTATGCTTCATTAACGTTTTATTACTGTGTGTGCATCCATCTGCTGACATTATTAGTTAATTGAGAACTGATTTTGTTTCTTTGAGAAGTTTACTGAGATCTCAGCTTATTCAGACTCTACCTTATACTGGGTTTGTTCTTGATTAAAATATTTGCACTATTTACTGACATATCTCTTTGCAATTGTTATTTCCGCAGACAAGTGTACTTGTACTGGCTTTCTTCTCTATATCAAGTTCCCAACCTCTGCTCTCTCAAATGAGTTTGAAGAAAAAGGAACCTCGGGAATTTGAGACAATGGGCCAGGCTCTGGGCATACCTAATAGTGGGCCACTGTTACAAATGGAACCAAATCCGGTTATAGATCCTAATGAACCTCTCGATAGGCTTCTTCTAAACAAAAGGTTTCGTCAATCCTTCATGGCATTTGCAGACAGGTGTCTTTTCTCCCTAACGAAAATCAAGTTTTGGTCTGGTCATCAATCAGTAATGTCTTAGTCAAGTATTATGTGCTTGTTTCTTTATAACTGCAGTTGTCTGGCTGGGGAGAGTGTGCATTTTTATGATGAAGTGTATGAACTTGATAAGATACCTGTTGATGATTCTGTAAGAAGAATTTATATGGCACGTCACGTTATTGAGAAGTACATAATTGCAGGTATGTTATTTCTACATGTGGAAATTTCCGCTAAAGATAAATTCTTATTCAACCAGCACTTTATACAATAATTTCTTGTGCATTTCATCGGATTATTAGACGGCCAGCTTATATTGCTGTTCATAATAGGATAGTGAATTCTATTGCATTTGCAGCACATATTCTGGTACCAAAAATTTTGAACTTTTTCTTTTGGGTTGTGAGACTGGAAAGATTCTTGTTACTGAGTAATTTCTACATTATGCTCACTGAAGATGCAAGAAGTTGCTTTCTGTATTTGGAACGTATTCTCTTACACTCCGCACAATCTGCCTCTTTCCATCTCTCTAACTTCTATTTATAGAAGTGTACATTTGCCCTAAAACCTCTGACAGAACTCTCAAACCTGGGCCTATCTTCAATGGGTCTCTTCTTTGGGCCGAATTGAATAGAGGGCCCTTTCACCACTTTGAAGAAGTTGGGCCTGAAGGGGTGAAATAGAGCTTTGGGCCTGACAGGTCGTGCTTTGGGCCTGACAGGTCGTCCTGCAAGCAGACCAATGGCCCTTCTAAACTCTGGGCCTGGCGGACCAGACCATATATGGCCCAGTCCACTTTTGGTACCCTCACTCACTCTCCAAATAAAACTACTACATGATGGATATTCTGACTGTATTTTGAATAATGCATCATACAGGTGCAACAATGGAGGTGAATATATCTCACAGAAGCCGACAAGAAATTTTGACCACTCTTGATCTGGCACACCCTGATCTCTTTAAGAATGCACTGTATGAGCTAGTGCAGTTGATGAAAATGGTTGGTTATTTACTTCAGAATACAAAATTATTGATTGCCTGCCTCTGACTGTCGGATATCAGATGTGCTTTTAATCACCATTTTTTTTTCCCTTTTGAAGAATTTGGCAAAAGATTACTGGTCATCCATGTTCTTCCTGAAGTTAAAAGAAGAAATTAGTATGAGTACAGTTGGTCACGAGCTGGAACAGGTGACTGGTTGTAACTTCTCGCCTAGGTTGAGTGCTGTTCATGGTGTCGATGATCCTTTTCACCAAGAACATCCTTCGAATGACTCTGGCTGCAATAGTCATGATTCAGACCTGCAATGAAATGAGAACTGTCAACATTTCTGCTGATTCTATAGATTTTTGTTCACGCTGTTGCAATTTAGCGGCTATAAAGAGGTTCCTCCACAAGATGGCATGGAAATCAATTTCTTAACAAGGATAGGAGAAGAGATGGAAATTAATGGTACCTGCAGATATGGAGAATTTTGTGTTTAACATCTGTATAGATTGATCATATAGCTTACTGTAGCTGGTCCAAACTCACAGTTTTAAGTGCCTTGATCACGAAATTGGGATAGTGTGCTGGTTTCTGTTCCAACATCTAATTTGGACCTTGTCAGTAGTAGCAGCTGCTGTCTCTTGCAAATCAAAGTGTAGTGCCCATCCTTGAGACCATTGCAGCACCCTCCTTTTTTCATTTTATTTTTTATTGAGGCTGGTGTAGCATGAATATTCAAAGATTAATACATCATGGATGGGCGTGCATTGGCCAAACATAGGGAAAGTTTTGGTTGGATCTTTTGGATTGAGGCCAGGATGAGAGGAAACAATTGATTCACAGTTCTGTTACTCTTCTAGCAGCAATCTCTATCGACGTGCTGAAGTAGAAGGATTTTCGGTGGCAGCCTCTCTTTTGATTGAGTGATCGAGAAAAAATCCCACGGTCACTTTCTCTGACTCCCCTGCCTGGTGTTTTCCTCCTCCTTTTACACTAGCATTGGTTGTTTGGGACACATGAGAATGTAATGTTGTATCAATATTGATAAAGGCTAACGATTGGCGATTGCTATAATATTTCACAGTTGTGCTCAGTATTGAGGTATCATAATGTCTTTGTTTCTTCACTATTTTCTTGGAATCTTTTAGGATTTGATTGTATTAAGCGCTAGTATGTCTCTGTGGGCATGTTTGGTTTTGTTTTATGGGTAATTTTCTGTTATTGAGAAGAAAGAACTAGAAAATTGTTTCAAAAAACACTTGGTTTGCGAGTATTGTATGAAAAACTGTTCATTTCAGAATGTTATTGTTAGATTTACAAGTTAGGTAACAAAATGAACATGCAACTACATGACAATAATATATTAAGGAATCAACAATAATAAAAATTTGTTACACTATCAATGATTTTGCAACGTTATAGTGCGATTTAATATGTTGCACGGATGTTATATTCTCAAAATAAATGCATTGCATGAATTTTTTATGTTTTTTTCTCCTAATTTATTGCATGAAATTGATTCTTGAATTTTAAACTTTGTAAAAAGAAATGAAAATTTCTGACATGAAATACTTCATGTCTTCTATAAATAAAATTTTCTCTATAATTATGATAAATTTTGAGAGAGAGTTGTAATTCACACATTTTTTGTTTTCCGCTCTCCTTGGCAGGTCTTCACCCTTTTTTAATATATATATATATATTTTAAACCAAATACTTCACTTATAAATTATGAATATCGATTGAAATTAAAATAATTAATTAAACTAAACACAATATTAATCGACTCAACTTTTAAAGTAGAAGATTTTTTAAATCAATTTTTCAATGACGACGTTAATAATAATATGGGGTGGAGTTTGTTAATTCGATTTCTCTCATCTTTCTCCCACAGACATTGAATCTTGATTGGCGGTGATGAAATTCCCATATAAGGGCTAAAGTGGGAGCCGCAAGTGTATGAAAAAAAAAAAAAAATGATTTAAATTAAAATAAATACTCAAACTTGTTGCAACTTTTTTATTAGAAAGCACGGACACGTCACTTACATAGACTCGGCTTGGACACGGTTAGAAATATTTTGAAATTTGAATATTTTATTTTCTGTTCGAATAAGTCTCAAACAAAATAATAAAAAGTTTTAAATACTTTAAGGTATTTTGTAATTATTATTAACAAAAAAATAAAATTTAAAATATATTACGAATTAATATGAAAAATAATATAAAATAATAAATATAGTAAATATTTAATTTTAAATTTTAATTTTAAATTAGTATTTTCATTGATAATTATGCGTATAAAATGAATAAAAATAATTGTTTTTTTTTTTATATATAATAAAATATTATATAGATATATATTGACGTATTCATGTTTTTTTAAAAAAAATTGTGATGTTTTCGAATTCATATCGTCGTGTCTTACCGGTGTCTGCTATTTTCAGAGTTCAAAGAGTAGAGGACAAAAAAAAAGAGAGAGAAAACTGAAAAGACTTGCCATCATTGCCATGGGTAGAAGAAAAACCCTAACAAAACCCCCCGTCATAGCAGACTATCTCAGCTCCCGATTTTAGGCTCAAAGTTGAACTTTGAAGGGCACTATCTCTCTGGCACTTCGACCCAAAATGGTGAAACGGAATCTCGAAACGGATTCCGATGACGATGGTTCAGCAACACCCACACCAGCTCACAAAACTGTCTTTGTTGACACCACTCTGGACACCCATCTAGTGACGATCGTCTCCGATGACGAAACCGTCGCTGATTTCAAAAGTATAAGCTTAAACCCTTTTCTTTTTTCTCATCATAAACCTTTGTTTCAATGTATAATTTGTATAGTCTGTATATATGTATGTTTGTTTTCATGCATTTGTATATAATAAATTAAATTGGTTTCCTTGTTGCTTTTGTTACCCTTATTGGAGAGAATTTGTATATTTCAAAGTATGATCTTAAACCCTTTTCTTTTTTCTCCTCATAAACTTTGTTTCGATATACAATTGGTAGTCTTTGTATATGTTTGTTTACATCCGTGTGCTTATATAATAAATAGAGTTGGTTCTTTTATTATATATCATTCGGCTAACTGTATTATATGGGGCAGAGTGTTGGGCGTTAAAAGAGAAACAAGAACACGCATTCATGTGACTGGAATGAGGATGTTGAGGTGGATGGTAGGAGTGACTAGAAAAGTTTAGTTACTAATCAAAATGTGAGGAAGATGCTAGGCATAGCGCCTATTAGTGACAAAATAAGAGAAAATAGAATTTAGGTGGTATGGACACATAGAACATAGACCCATTGATGCACCCATTAAAAAAGGTTTGCATAGACAGTTAGAGATAACGAGGACACCCAAAACTCACATAGAATGAAGTAGGTAACATGGTGTATAATAGAATATAATGGAGAAAGAGAATCCATGTGGCCGACTCCGTTCATTCGGGAAAAAGGCAATGATGACGATGACGACGACGATGATGGCTTCTTTGTTGCTTTTGTTTACCCTGACTGGAGAGAATTTGTTTGCTCATTATCATACCCTGTTTGTGAAGAGCGAACTTGTAGTTGATTGGTGCTTACCATTTGGAGGTACTTCTTGTGACCTTTTGAACTGAATTTTCTGCAGGCATAAGCAAATTTGTGAATGGGAACACTTCTGCATTGTTGGTTTATGAATGCTATTGGAAGAAAATTTCCTCAATCGTCTCTGCTGATTCTCACTATTATTGGAACTTGGAAGTTGAAATCCCAATTTGCCTTTTTTGAGTCCAATACTTCACCTTGGAAATCACGCTTTCAAAATTGGAAAAGGTCTCTCCCCATCATGGGGAGGTAAGGTTGCATACATCTGACCCCCTCTCTAGACCCTGCAATGGCAGGAGCCTTGTGTACTGAGTTGGCCCTTTTGATGCAAAGATGAGATGTGGGAAGCTAATGATTAAACAAAATAATGAGTTATTAGTTATAGAATGTGAATCCATAGTTATTAGATTACTCGGTTAGTTTTCATCATAAATGTGGCAGTGCCTTATCTACTTTATTCCCATCAGAGATTTGCTATGGTGTAACCAAGGTCACACCTTTTTCCTGTTCTTTTTAATGTATGGAATTCATTATAGCTTGAAAATATTAGGGAATTATATTTTACAAGCAAAGTTCATAGAACACAAGCATGAATGCACAGGCATACACACTTGTAATGCTTTTTTTGGATTTATATATGCTTTATATTTACCAGAAAGTGATATTCAGGTTGTTTTCGAAGAAAGAATGAGTATATATTGTATGTTCAATTTTAAATTAATAAAAAAATTGTAGATATACAAAAATAGATGAGAATGGAGAAGGTAAGTAGAGACACATGAGAGAACAGGAAATCTTGGTTGAAGAGGTTGACAAAAGGGGGAGGGTGTTGGCTGGAGTCTCTCCCTAGAGAGCAAACCAGGTGGACATCTTAATATCAGAAACAGGGAGACTGTGTAATCAAGAGAAATTACATTCTGAGAAGTTGAAAATGACAAGACAATATGACATAATTAGCATGAAATCATTTTTAACTGGCCAATACAGATCATTCTCACTTATTATCATTTTCGTTGTGACTTTTTGCTTGAATTACTGTCAGATTTAATTCCCATGCTTTTGACATGCAGAGAAGATAATGTTAGAACACCCCCAGTGCTTTCCTAAAATTGGGGAGATAGAAATCCATGCTTTGAAGGTACATTGCTCTGTCATTTATTGCTGACAATCTTGCTTGTTAATCATTCCTTCACATCAAGATCCAAGCAAAGAAAATATATAATTCACATTGACAAGGTTTTGCAATACTGGCAGGTAAAGCAAAAAGGATACTTTTATCATCTGTCGGATTCCATGCTTGTTAAAAGTGCTTTTGCGGGGGCTAAAAAAAATTGGTTTCTTTCTGCTGATGCTTCTAGACTGAACGATCATAATGACAACCTAAATTCCTGTGAACCTGATGCTGGCAACCAGCTAGCATTACTCTGCATCAATTATCCTCCAGATGATAGAAATGATCTTCCAACTGGTTGTCCTTCCAACGGGTTTTCCTTGATTGATGAGCCACTGATGTCACAAACTATTAGCATCCACAATGCAAAAATGAGAGTTGCTGATGCAGGCCAGTCTGGTGCGATCTATTCATATAAAAAAGTTTCCAATGATTTGGAGATGGAAGTTAAACATATTACTGATGAGCACTGCAAAAATTCATCTTCTGCCGCCAATAAAGAAAACTATGGGGATGAGGTATGTCACCCTGTTTTTAAAGAAAACTATGCTTCATCCCTTTCATGTAGTAAAGATGTATCACATCCAGAGGGGGTTGGCACTGCAAAGTCTTCAGGCAATGCAGGTAGAGAAAAATCAAATGATACAACAGTGGGAAACAAAAATGTTAGTGAGGAACCTCGTAAGAATGACAAATCCAAGAATACGGTTGGTGTTGTTCAGTGCAATATTTCCTTAGAAGAAGCTTCACAATCTGGACTCAGAACAAGGAAAAAGCAGAAGATAGAAAGCAATGAAGTCTCTGGGACTCCTTTAAAACAAAACAAAGGTTTAGTTTCTAATTATGGTGAAGAGACTTCCAAGCCAGAGACTAAAATCCCTGAGAACTCTAAAGATGACAAACAGAAAAGTGAAAATGCTACTTTGGATGGTATATCTGCCAAACTTCCGGAGGATATCCATTTGATGAATAGTTCAAGCGGTGGGAAGACTAAAAAGAAAAGGAGGGATAAAACATCAACCCCTCATGATCAAATAATCTCTTCTGTGCCATCTTCTCTGCACAGTGTTGGGGTATTGAGTTGCCAGGAAAATGGAGAAATTAACCCCAAAGATTTGGGTAGGATATCTGTTGCAACATATATTTCTGGAGAAGGAGACCAGGATGCAACACTCTACAAACATTTGGCGGTCTCACGGAAGGAAAAGCAATGTGAACCACTCCAAGAAGTGGTTGAAGGGAACAAAGCTCCCTCTTCAATAGGTGAGTCCATTCACCAGTTTGTTTATGTTACTTGTAGCAAGAAAATTTTGCCTTTATTTCATGTTAACAGCCATCTACTCCAAAAGCTTAAGCTATTGGAGAGGGTGCAACTTTAATATTCATATCCTTCAACACACCCCTCACGTGTGTCCTTCTTTTAGGTCCAACACGTGTTTTTCAATTTTTAATTAGGGTGACGGCAAGGTTTGTACTCGAGACTTTTGGCTGTAATACCATGTTAACAACCATCTACTCCAAAAGCTTAAGCTATTGGAGAGGGTGCAACTTTAATATTTATATCAACATTTCAACTATTTTTTAGTCAGTTCCAGTGATTTGGTTCGAGGGATTTGGAAAGGAGGACCTCCATTGTCAATGTTGCTGATGACCCCTTCTCTATTTTGTAGGCAATTACATGAATGAAGCTGACATCCGCACTGTAGGAGATAAATATGCTTCAAAACTAGCTGCTTTAGCTGAAGTAAAAGGAACAAAAAAGTTGATGAAGCATTGTGCCACTGATGTGAAAGGGACTTCTTCAGTTTCGGCCAGAGACCCTGATAACCTGAAAAAAGACGCTATGCACTCTGGGCATGAGAATATTGTCCCTGACGATCATAATTTTGAAAAGGATCAGACTGATAAAATTGAAGAGGAAAGAGAATTGTCACAGAACCATGATCCTGAAGTGTTACTGTCTGAAAGGTGCAAACCTTTAATTCTGGGTGAAGTAGATGTGAATGTTAAAGAAGCAAACATCTCAGCCAAGTTATCAGATGCCAACATTGTGATGGAAACTGGGAGTTCTGTTGCCAGGAAAAGGAAGAGAATGAATATGAAGATGTCTGCTCGAGTAGATCAGGTCATATCAGACTTGGAGCACAGTAATAATCCTGTAGATGACATTTCCTCAATTGTGCCTTATTCAGCTTTCAACGGTTGTCTAGATAATGAAGCTAAGAAAAAGGAAAGCATCTCGTCTCAGTCTGAAAGGACACAAGTACCAGAACCTAATAAATTGGAGTCTTCTTTTGTCGTTGCTGATGGGAGAGGTGATGATGTGAGTGGAAATGATGCAGAACCTTTGCTGCTAACTCAGATAAATGAAAATAAAGAGAATGCAGGAAATGTGGATGAGATATTAAGAAAGAAATCAAAAAAGTATCGACGCTCCGCTACAAAGACCCTCCCGGATTTGCCTATCAAAGAGCGAGGAAATGAGGTGGAGCCTATGCAGCTAAATGAAACTAGCAGGACTCAAGAAAACGCAGAAAATGTGGATGAGGAAGTAAGAAAGGAAACAAAAAGGAACAAAAACTCCACTGCAAAGAGTCTCCGAGATTTGGCAATTGTTGCTGATGGGAAAGGTGATGATGTGAATGGAAATGATGCAGAACCTTTGCAGCAGATAAATAAAAATAAAGAGAATGTAGGAAATGTGGATGAGATATCAAGAAAGAAACCAAAAAAGAATCGAAGCTCCACTACAAAGACACTCCCAGATTTGCCAATCAAAGAGCGAGGAAATGAGGTGGAACCTATGCAGCTAAATGAAACTAGCAGGACTCAAAACTATGCAGAAAATGTGGATGAGGAAGTAAGAAATGAAACAGAAAGGAACAAAAACTCCACTGCAAAGAGTCTCCGGGATTTGCCAATGGTTGCTGATGGGAAAGGTGATGATGTGAGTGGAAATGATGCAGAACCTTTGCCGCTAACTCAGATGAATGAAAATAAAGAGAATGCTGGAAATGTGGATGGGATATCAAGAAAGAAATCGAAAAAGAATCGAAGCTCTACTACAAAGACCCTCCCGGATTTTCCAATCAAAGAGCCAGGAAATGAGGTGGAGCCTATGCAGCTAAATGAAACTAGCAGAACTCAAGAAAATGCAGAAAATTTGGATGAGGAAGTAAGAAAGGAAACAGAAAGGAACAAAAACTCCACTGCAAAGAGTCTCCGAGATTTGCCAATGGTTGCTGATGAAAAAGGTGATGATGTGAGTGGAAATGATGCAGAACCTTTGCCGCTAACTCAGATGAATGAAAATAAAGAGAATCCAAGAAATGTGGATGAGATATTAAGAAAGAAACCGAAAAAGAATCGAAGCTCCACAAAGACCCTCCCAGATTTGCCGATCAAAGAGCGAGGAAATGAGGTGGAGCCTATGCTGCTAAATGAAACTAGCAGGACTCAAGAAAATGCAGAAAATGTGAATGAGAAAGTAAGAAAGAATACAAACAGGAACAAAAACTCCACTGTAAAGAGTCTCCGAGATTTGCCAATGGTTGCTGATGGGAAAGGTGATGATGTGAATGGAAATGATGCAGAACCTTTGAAGCAGATAAATGAAAATAAAGAGAATGCAGGAAATGTGGATGGGATACCAAGAAAGAAACCGAAAAAGAATCAAAGCTCCACTACAAAGACCCTTCCAGATTTGCCAATCAAAGAGCGAGGAAATGAGGTGGAACCTATGCAGCTAAGTGAAACTAGCAGGACTCAAGAAAATGCAGAAAATGTGGATGAGGAAGTACGAAAGGAAACAGAAAGCAACAAAAATTCCACTGCAAAGAATTTGCCAATGGTTGCTGAGGAAAAAAGTGATGATGTGAGTGGAAATGATGCAGAACCTTTGCCGCTAACTCAGATGAATGAAAATAAAGAGAATGCTGGAAATATGGTTGAGATATTAAGAAAGAAACTGAAAAAGAATCAAAGCTCCACTACAAAGACCCTCCCAGATTTGTCAATCAAAGAGCGAGGAAATGAGGTGCAGCCTATGCAGCTAAATGAAACTATCAGGACTCTAGAAAGTGAAGAAACTGTGGATGAGGAAGTAAGAAAGGAAACCAAAAGGAACAAAAACTCCACTGCAAAGAGTCTCCGAGATTTGCCAATGAAGAAGCAACCAGTTGGTGTGAAAGAATTAACATCTCCAAATGATAGAATCGGAGCGGAGGATACTCCGTCCAAAACGAAGAAGAGAACTAGATCAGTAAATACAAGTGTGGTGAATCAATTAACTGGAACAGACTTGGGACTTGAGAGAGATGCTGATACTGAATGTGCTTCTTTTAATCCCCAACTTCCGCCATCAGAGAAACTTGAGGGTGATTCAGTGAGAAGGCCTATTGAAGCTAATGTAGATGATAATGCCCTTGAAAATTGCAGTATGGCTGGTGCTAATAATCAGATGAGTGATTCTAAGTGTAAAGGTGATGCTATTAATTTCAAGGAATATTTTGTATCTGCAAAAAACCAGCATGAAGTTGCTCTTGAGGTGCTTGTTGACAAGGTGAATGAAGCAAAAAGATCAGACAAGGAGGTGAAAGCTAAAAAGAGCATAAAGAAGCCTGTAGCTTGTGGAGGCACCTTACCTGATCCAAAGAACCCGCTCAAATCACATGAAAACCTGGGGAGTGAAAAAAAATTGAAGGGTGGAATATCTAGTAGCATTCAACTTCAAGGATCATTATCAAAGGAAACATGTAGCAAAGTTATGCTTCACCACAAAAATAAGTCTTCAAAAGTTTCAGGAAATGAGGTAAAGGTCCTGCGTCCCCATAACATCGATCCAATCAAATCCATTCATCAAGTGGTAAGACAGCCTGATGTTAATGGTGCTGGGACCAATGGTTCATCTTCTTATCTGCAGGAAAATGGTGAATTTTCAACAGCATCTATCTCAAGCTCAGAAAGTTCGAAGAGATCTGTCCGAAATAAGAAGCATTACAAGCATCAATCAAGTTTAGATCGTCGTCATGCGACAACTGCAGAAGCTTCCCATAAGAATACCGGGGAAGTTCGTGAGAAGAGATTGTTGGCGACGCCTGGTGCAATTTTTAGGGATGAAAGCAGCGATAGTTCTGAAGATGAAAAAGGGCCCGGAAACTCTGATGCCAGCACCAGAACTCCATCAAATAATTCATCTTCATCAGGCTACTCAGATGGGGAAACCCAGTCAAGTTTGGACTCACTGCAAAATGGTAATTCAAAATGTGAATTTGGATTTATGGACGTTGTGCTTGCAAATTTTTTAGCATGTTTATTAGCCTATAACTCTCAGCATGTGCTGTCCTCGTACCTTTTTTAATGGCCTATTATATCAGCATGTGCTTTTCTCAAATGCCTTTTAATGGTATATTATATCATTCTGATATGTCATGAATTCTATCTTTTCAATACAAGCTTAATAGATGAATGGTGCCATTTCTTATGCTCATTAGCTGATTGATCATGTTGATTTTTCTTTAATACGCTTTAATCCTTAAGAGTGTGTATGGTTGGGATTACAAGGAAGAATAATCTCCAGGAGCCAGCAAAATTACTGTTGCAGCCTAATTCAGATGTCCTCTTCTTTATATTACTTAGAGAAGATATGGAGGTCAATTCCATAGTGGTTGTGTATGTAATTCCACAGAATACTTTCTTTTCTCTTCTTTTTTTTTCTTTTTTTTTTTTTATTTATTTATCCCAGAAGCTGGTGGCTCCTGCATTTAAGTGAGATGTATAATTGCTTGTTGCTGCAAAGGGGGTAAGTTTTCTCAGACTCTTGGCCTTTCATGTACTTCATTATGAAAGCGTAGTGGTGCTGAGGAATTTACTCATTGGGAAACACATCAGATAGCATATAATATTCTCTTTTGCAGAAGCTTTGTTGTAGAAACAATTTTTAACATAGAAGTTGCTGATATTGTTCTCATTTTTCTGTTATATATAGTAGCTAATCTACTCTGTTTTTGTGAAATTGTGCCACAGGATCTCATAGCGTGAAAGGAAAGAAAGGTGGTGGGAAAAAAAACATAAAACCAGCGTAAGTTCGATACTAATCATATTACATTCTCCAATAGTAAAGTAACGGTAACTTGCTTGCTAGTTTGGGCAAATTATTTACACTTGGAAGTTTTTATCCATTTCAACTCTACATGCTTGCACGCCTTGCTTACAATTTTCTGGACTAAAAACTTTATGTTCTTAGATTTGTTCACATACAATTTGTAGAGAAGTTTCCATGTGTGTGCCATTGTTTTATAAGGCTACCAAAAAAATAATAATCTCCCAAGTAGTATCTAACCCATTTAGTGTGGCTTAATTGTCTTTTTTACTTTATATTATAGATGCTAATTTTTTCCAAAATCAGATGAGGCCCATACTGTTCACAAGGAAGCTTGAAGATGTTTGCCATTGTTGAGTACAATGTGATGCCTACCAGGCTGACACAGATCATTCTGTAATAGGATTACTCTTTTTTTTTGTTGGGGGGGGGGGGGGGGGGGGGGGGGGGGCGATGGAATCACCTAGAAAAGAAAGGGAAAAGAAAGGAAAGAGAAAATTTTTAAATTTTTTTAGAGTTTGGATAGATGGAAAAAGAATCGTAATAGAAAATATAGTTTCCCGCATTAGACTAGTTTTCCCCAAAACTTTTCTCACACAAAACACGAGGAAATAATATTTTCTTGTGAAAACTGCTTCTTTTTATTTGAAATTCCTATTTTATCCAACAACTGAATCATGTAAAACAACTAACTTCTTTTTTTTTCTAACTGAGTTTCTTTTCTACTGAGTTTCAAAGAAGCAAGTTCTATAACAATTTCTATTTTAGTGGACTTCTAGAAGGCAAGTTCTCTTTAAACATGTTCTCTTGCAATACTATTTGGACCTTTTTTTTTTTTTGGGTTCCAAATATATACACACCTCTATTATATATACAGAGAATAATATATATTTTGCTCTTTTTGTGTTCTCTGGTTGAAAGCCCATGAGTCCATGAGCCCAATTTTTTTTTTTTTTTTTTTAAGCTTCCTTATTTCTCTTAAATGAATAGTTAGTTCTACTTCTACAGTTCTCCCTAAGAAGTCTTGAAGTATTGTTTTAATTTAAACAATATAAATGAATATAAATAATTATATTATTAAATTTAATAATTCATCATTTTATTAAAACTTTGATAAATATAGACATCATCAAACACAAATTTATTTATTTTTTTAGTATTTGAAATCATAAGGATAATTTTGGTATGCACAATCACTTTCTTTTCATTTTCATGCTATCCAAACTAACAAACTAATATTTTCATACAATTTTCATCCAAACTAACAAACTAATATTTTCATACAATTTTCCTGAATAAATTTTCTTGCTAACCAAATGCTTGATAGAAAATAACCTTTCTTTTCATTCACTTCACTTTTCTTTCATTTTCCATTTCTTTTCTTTTCTTGCTTATTTCTATCTAACCAAACGGAGCCTAAGAGAAAGAAAAAGAAAATCTTTTTATTGGTAATTCATACAGTGAGGAGTAGTTGTCATTCCGTACTTTATATTGCAGAACTCTAACTAGCTTTTCAATCAAATAAGATTATACCTTGTGAATATGTCTTACTCTCTTTTGTGAATTGTGCCCATATAAATCACAGGAAAGTTAAAAAATAAATAAATAAATTTGACAAGTACAGGAAAGTTTAAAGTTGCTTGTTATTGTTGAGTAAAATGTGTGCCTATCTTATTCCCATTATACATTGACGTAATTAATCCCATCATGAGATTAACAAGATTTGGGGGGAAAAAAAGGAAGACAAGAAAAGAAACTCTCATTTGGCAGTTAACTCATTTAGGGAAGGTTACTATCTTCTTTACTTTGTAGTACAGGTGCTACTTGGTTCCATAATCTGATGAAATTAAATGACTCGATAATCTTTGACTACTTTATTCTTCTTCTTCACATAAACCTAAAAATATCTATATAGAGCCACAACTTGGTTTCAATTGTGCAGGTTCAACTTGATTCAATTCAATAAAGCCTTTTTCTCTACTTTTTGGGTTTGGGTACATGATTCTTCTTTCACCATTCTACTTTAAGTCCACCTGGTTAAATAACGTGCTTTCTCCGCACATGATTAAACAATCTCAATTGATTCTCTCATTTTTGTCTTCAATTAGTTTTTCTTTAGCCAAGTATGGATATGTTCTATTTGTAACATTCCAGCTGGTGAATTGTGACTGTTAAATAGCTATTTATAAGATTTACCTTTCAATCTTAGATGTATATGCTGATCAAATAATATGCCAACAGCTTTCTTACATTAAACCTATCCTACTCTAATTCTATAATTAACATATTCTACCAACGGGCCAGTGGCCTAGCGGTATCAGCCTCTTACTTTCCAAAGAGAGGTCAGAGGTTCAAGTCTCAAAAGAGACAAGTGTATGTGAGTACCAACTAGGAAAAAAAAAATTAATTAACATATTCTCGAATTTCTCCCTCATTGTGTATAATTGGGTCTAGGTTAACATTTTTCTTTTTCTTTTTTTTGTTTCTCTTCACTATGTCTCCTCCTGTGTTTCTAGTTTTATTAAAGTTACATTACATGCATTTAGTTTTAGCCCTATTTTTTGTTACAGAAAACAAAATATTGTCAATCAGAATATCATGCATAAAGTGTCAATTTTTTGCTAAACTGAGATAAGTAGACGTGTTTGCTTATGTTTCTCTTCACCAAGATGAGATATTGCAACCGTTGGTTGAGTTTACAATTTAAATTTCTCAATCATTGGCTGGATTGGAAGGAGGAACTTTTCTTCACATTTCTGTACGTTTGGGTTTGTATTTCGAGAGTGATATATTGTTTTAGGGAATTTTTGTATCTATATATTCCATAATTTGGAAACAATGTATTTGCAATGGAGTTCGAAGGAAATGGGGTTCTACCCACCTTATTTGCACTTCGGTCATTTATCGGATCCGACAAACATGCTTCCCACTTGTCATCAGTTGGAAGAAAAGAGAAACAACATTTTAGTGGATCTAGTTTCCTGATGTGCTGATTTGTCTGTGTGATTGCTTCTTCCGTTTTGCTTTCATCAATGAAAAACAGAAAAATAAAGTGTAGTGGAGAACTTGATGTGGAATTTTTGTCCTTAGAAAACCATTCTGTGGAGTTTTTGGTTTGGGTGATATAGCATGCTTGTCTGCATTTTCTGTTATTCTTCAAGTTATTCTGACAATCTCTCGTTTCTTGGAGCAGCTTATCTGGCCCGAATAATATAACCATGGATATGGTTCTTAGGAATTCGAGCAGATTCAAGATGGCCAAGCTCACAGCTTCTCAATCACAACTTGGAGATGATACTGAAAGCCAGCCTATTGATTTTGTTCCAGACAGCCTAGAGAACCTGTGATCACTCCAGGTTGTGTTTTGTTTCGGGATTTTGTTTTTCCGTCTTGAATTTTGTGATCGTGTAGTAGCCTTGAGAGGCCATTTTGGGTTTTTGGAATGTGGGTTTACAAGATAGTTACTTCTAACAATATTTAGTATTTGTATTTCAAGTATGGAAAGCTTTGTAGTGGCACTGGAACTAAATTGTCCGAGCACTTGCCTGAATGCATGATGCTGTTCAGGTCTTATAAAATTTTGTGAAGGCTAAATCTAAAGCCAAGTTTTGCCAAGTTCTCCTTGTTGGTCTTTGTTTTTTTGGCAGATCTTATATATAATTAACAACCCATGACATAACCATCTCAAATACGTCACTAGCAATGCCCCAAAAAGAAGTGTTTTAACAAAAAGAGTTCATTAACAAAAGATACAATTACAAGTGATTTCAAGCATCACACCATATATATATATATATTTATTTATCTCATATCACTGAGATTTCATGTTGTTGAGCTGGTTCAAAGCAGGTTGTAGGATATTGTAAATCACCCACAGAATGGCTGGTGTGATCACAAACAGCAGAAGCTGCCCCCTGTTGTCACTTGTGGCATCAGCTAGCATGGCAATCTGATCGGTGGCGGCCGACGCATTCGGCGTAAACGCCAACCCTGTTGCAGCCAAACCACCTAGCCCAAGCCCTATGATCACCCCCTTTGTGCTTTTCATTTTGTCAAGCTGGTTCAGTGCTGGTTGGAGGATGTTGTAGAGCACCCAAAGAACGGCTGGGATGATGGGTATCAAGAGCGCAAGGCCACGGTTATCGCCTTCGGCTATCTCAGCAATCTGTTGTGCAGCCAAGGCAGGGTCACATGAGCTCAAGGTGGAGAAAATCGCTCCGGCAATGGCAGTCCCGGCTAGGGAGTTGGAGAGGTCTTTTGAGGTGGTGAGGCCTTTTGGGAGGTTGTTGATGGAGAGAAGGGAGATGGGTTGTTTTGTGTTTGGCTTGGGAGGGTTGAAAGTCTTGGTGGTCAAGCACTTGGCATTGAGCATGGCCATTGTTGCTATTGTTGCAGCCATTGGAGGTCTCTCTCTCTCTCTCTCTCTCTCTCTAGCTTGTTGAATTGGGGTTTGGTTTTTGCTAATGTTGAAGCTACTAGGGAGGATTTCAAAAGCTTAGAAGGAGAGAGATTGGGTTCAATATCACACACACACACACACACACTGTTGGTATATGGATGTGAAGACTAGGAAGGGAAATGGGCACCAATAGGATTGTGTTTTCTGGATTGCTCTCTTATCCAAAGAGAGTGGATTGGTGAGATATAGACCTCATATTTCATACCCCACCAAAGTTTCTTATCACATCCTAATGACTAAAATGTATTTTCTCTTAGGTCTAGGAATATGTATTCAATAATAATTTTGAGTCCTTTTTGAGGCTTTTGAGTTTTGAGGTCCATCCCCCCATCTACAGAGGTCTAGATTGTTGAATGGGATGAAACCAATTGGGTTTGGGTGCACCAGAAAGGTCATGGCCACAGAGTGCATGTCCAATATTTGATGGGTTGCTCTGGCCCATTTAGTTCTTGGGCTTACTTGTCATATTGGCATATATTCTGGGCCCAAACTAGATGAGTCCATTAATCATATTTTGATGGGTTTCTATGGCCCATTTCACTTCCTTGGACTTCCTTGTTAGATTAGCATATATTCTGGGCCCAAACTAGATGAGTTCATTAATCATATTTTGATGGGTTTCTATGGCCCATTTAACTTCCTTGGACTTCCTTGTTAGTTTAGCATATTTTCTGGGCCATTTCTTGTTGGGACCATTAATCATTATATATTTTGTTGGGTTTGTCTGGCCCATTTCACGTCCTTGGGCTTTCTTGTCAGATTAGCATTTTTAGAACAATGTGACTGTTAGAAAACCTTGCTTGCTTCCATCAATTCCATGGCAAAACTGAAACAGAACATCTGATAAAATAAAATAAAATAAAATAAAATAAAAAAAGAAGCTACAATCTCTCTCTCTTTATATATAAATACACACACACTATAATGTAATTAAACATTAATGGTCATAAGCCCCATGGGAGCACGGTGTACCTCTTTTAGTAAAAGTTTTTTTCACAAATCAGGCCAAACCAAAGTTTGGCCCAATGGGCCTTGAAAAAAACTTCGTCAGCCTCTACCATTTGTATATAATCTGGAAATGCCGATCCAGCCCAGTTGAGATGCTTAATTTAAACTTCTGAAGGTGCACAATTGCATTTTTACGATTTTTAGAATTGAGTGGAGGCATAGATATAGAAATATGAGTAATGCTATCAAGAGTAGTCATGACCTTTTGAATATGAAGAACTCACGACTGCTGTTAAACACGCTCCATTTTACAAGTTTGTTAAGTTATCGCAGATTATAACTTCCTTCTCAAGGTGGTGGCATAGATAATTGAAGCATGTCGCCAAGAATGCGTCACGAATCATGACTTGTAGGGTTCCAGAGGAATGTACTACAAAGACTTGGTGGGGCGTCTATGGTTCATAATTTAATCGAGTTAAAACAATTTGATCGAAATGCACCCAAAAAAAAAAGAAAAAAAGGGTAACCTGTCCTACTAAAATAGTAGGCAAGAAACATACATACCTCGGTGGGGTGTGTATGGTTCAGCACCAACGGGTCACATAATTGAAATCGGTGGGCAAATGTGGCATAGAAAGGCATGCTAGGGGTCCATATATGCCATAGCCTAGAGAGATGACAATCACGCGTTGAATTTGAAAACAAATGGTCGGCAGAGTTGTACCAGGTGCATGATCGACGCATGACCATAGTTGTGCGTGGCATGGACCAAATTTTCAAGTCTTCCAAGCATGATATACATAGTACCCAAGTGGCAAATGCATGAGGAAGATGGTTCAGTCTTCATGGAAATGGAGACTCAAAATCTTTTTTGTTCAGTTATCTGAAACTAGTTCTTCCTAGATACTAAAAATTTGTCAATAAATGAATTTTTTGAAATGCCTATGTAGTCGGTAGCTCATTGGTTGGGTTGTTCCCCGTTGTCTTAGGACTGCTGATGCCCCTATCCTGGGATATTTGTATATTCGGACTAAGCCTTGTCACCATTGTAAAGATGAAAGATTGGGGGCCGAGCTACCTTGCTACTAAGAATGAAACATGTACTATGCTATGTTCCGTTAACCTTGGACGTCTCATTTCATTGGGTTCATTGGAGCCGATTTCAAGCATTCGCACCCATTAACTTATAATCTAACATTCTTGCCATAAACTTTTTTAAAAAAAGTCAATAAATGGATCTTCAAACTATTTCATGCTTCATATAAAAGGATAAAAGTATTTGAAGCGAACACACACACTATATATATTATGTATTTATGCTTCCATTGAGGCTTAGACACTCGAACTCTCCATTTGGAATGGAGAGGAGAGCTTCTACTAATACTAATGCCTATTGGTTCTGAGAGAGCATATGAAGTACTCTACAATTCGAACTCTCGATTTTCATATGTGATGTGAGAGTCTTTGTCATTAAGCTATCCTCTCCGATCTAATTAAAAGGAGTTTTTTATTTTTTTATTTTTTTATTAAGACCTTAAATTTGAATGCAAAATCTAGGTACTAGCAAGAGGCCAATGGTGTTCAAAGGACGTGGCCGAAATGGGAGACCTGAAACTAAAACTATTCAAATCCCATGTCCATGAAAACTAGATGAGTTAGAGTTAATAATGCTCCTAAAGTCTTTTGGACTTTTATGAATATGTCAGACTTCATAAATTTCATTATTGTTATTATTTTCCATATAATAGCTAGAAAAGCTACTGACAATGAACATAGAAGCAGCAAATTGCATGCATGGTGGGTTTGGACCACCAAGTCCATGTGCGATGCCTCAGACACAAGCGGCATCATCTTTATGAATTTGACCCTTAAATCCCTAGTAGTTAGGGAGTCTATGTCCAAACACTTCGATATCTTTGAATTGAAAGGAACTCATTATTTTGGGTTGCCAAACAGTATGAAATTAGTATCTGCAAACTTTTGACAAACCCTAGCTCTGCTATGAAACTCGAACCTCTAACATTTCCTTCGAGAAACGAGAAGTCATATTAAGTAATTCAAAAATCGGATGCATCCGATCGATTTATGAAACTAGTGTCTACAAACCCTTCGAGAAACAAGAAGTCATATTAAGTAATTCGAAAATCGGATGCATCCGATCGATTTAAGAAACTAGTGTCTGCAAACCTTTTACAAACCCTAACTCCACTATGAAACTCGAATCTCTCACATTCCTTTTGAGAACAGAGATTATATCAATTGGACTAGTGACTTAGAAATCGGTAATTCTTATTGAAAAAAGGAAGGCTCGCGCGCAATAATCACAATTAAGTAAATTATAGCTCCAATGTCGTTTATATAAATCAGACTATAATAATGATAAGTAATTCGAAAATCGGATTCATCCGATTAATTTATATGAGTAAGAGATGACATCATCATGATGTATTTCCTACTCGCATAAATTTAATCTCATGTATTTGATTGTTAGACTCTCTATTAGTACTTCATCAATAAAGTGTGTTGTTTAGTGTTTTTCACGCCCTAATTTACTAAACATAAATTGAAATGGCCTAAATGCTCTAATAATTAATGCCCACAAAGTAATTAAGTAATTTGATAGCAGCTCTAGGAGACAAAATTGGTAAGAACACTACCATATAAAGGAATTGAATCAAGAGCTTTCAAAGCTTGGTTCAGTGCCAACACTTTAATGATGAACTTGAGCCAAGTCTAAGCTATGGCCTTGTTCAAATAGCTTGCATGTTCCAGTTTAGGTCAAACACATGCACTGCACATGAGCTTGTTGAGCATCTACTCAGTTTTGTACTGAAGTCTAGCACTTTCAACTCATATATCATGCAAGTAGTGACTATATATATTCTCTCAACATATCCAAAATTTCTTAAGATCTTCTTACTAATAAATAATTACTAATAATCTTCTTTCTATATATATATATATTCTCTCAACATATCCAACTAATAATCTTCTTTCTATAATTATGTAAGTTGTTTTTGTGTGTGTTTTGGTTTTATTCAATTTTGGTTTATTAAGCAATCCAACTTGAAACATGCATGCCCAATCTTGGTTATTGCATTTGATGAATGAGCTAAATGAGTTCCTTAACAAACAAAACTTGACTTGTATTAAATGAAATTTAATAAAAGAAAATAAAAAATCTAAGATTGCAAAAAAAAAAAAGGGTAACGCTAATCAAGTCGAAATATATATATACATATATATAAATCAATCAATTCCCACATAAAATGACTAATCGTGTGGTTCATGTGATGCAATCTCATCATTATTGTCCAATGGACAACCTTCATTTTCCTTTGGATATTTTTTTAAAAATTATTACATGGTTAACGGATCATTGCTTTTGGCAAATTATATGTTGACATATAAATAAAAAATAAGGTGAAGTTGACATAAAACTGACACATTTGTTTATATATCAGCATTAATTATGCCACCATCTAATATTTTTCCAGACATACTGACTTACATATCGGATTATAATTGATCAGACCAAATGGTAAAAATTTCTAATTCTTGTCAATTAATTTGAATTGGCTTTAAATATTATTACATTATATGGTGGTTAATCCATCAACACCAGTGGAAAACAATAACAAAAATAATAAATTAGTTAATTAAAATAAAATAAAATCCATCAAAAATAAATGGCATTCGATTAATCCACTATAAGCTGTTGTGATTGGAGGATATGGGGGACCTACTCATCTCCCTATACAGGACCAAGCTTCAATCTCTCCAAGTTCCATCTGCAACTCCCATTAGCATCATAAATGCCCTCACTAGCTTGTACAATTCCTGCAGTTAAATAGTACCTTACACAAAACACACACACACACAAATAGTACATGTAGGTGTGTATTAGATATATAGGCATGTGCCTGCATGGAAAAACTTTTTATTTGTGCAATTGTCGGCAACAATATATAGATTTATCTGCATAAACATGATTTTCGCAGGGTCCTTCAATTCAAGTATTCACTTGGGAGTCCAATCATGGGTCAACTAATTTCCTCCTTCAACTAAGTCATACAATTATTATTATTATTATTATTTTTTTTTTAACAATTGTCGTTTTTATGTCTTGAATATGTTCTT